GGGTTGTTTTTTCCCCTGTAATTCTTGTGAGTATATTTTTGTAGTGCGTTTCAGGAAGAGAGCTGGCATTCTTCTCAGTTATGACAGGAAGTAGAGCAGCTAATCGGAAAAAATCTGTATGCTTGTTTCTGTTGGGTTTTTCTGGCAAAGGATGAATGCTCTTCTAGAAGGAACGTGTGAACAACTTAAATACCTCAGCGTATGGTTATCCGGGGATATATCGATCAAAGTGTTTGCGTTTAGATTTCCGAAGGCTGGCTGGCTTGCTCTGGTGGAAGACTTCTGACACATGATCCCACATCCTGGGAGGCAGGAAGAGCAAAGCCCCCCGGGCCGTCTTCGGATGGCTTTTGCTGCCCATCCGTGCAAGTCCTCCAGCCATGCCCATCACCTAATTGCTTTAAATTCCACCCTCGGTCTTCCTGCCCAGCACCATGAGCCGGACGGTGCTAATAAGTGGTAACTTACTCATCGGAGCAGGAGTTAATTCACCCATTAAGCCATGTGGACAGAGCTCGAAAGGAATGCAGAGGCCAGTCCAACCAGTTCAACCAGTGAGTGAGTTCAGAGTCATCCAGGCAGAGACCGTCTCCTCAGCGGTGAGCTCTGTGCATCTCCTCGGACGGTGGTTGAGACTGTTCTGAGACAAATACGGGGTGGATTTGGGCTTAGGAATTGGCCAGCCAGCCTTGTGGATCCTGGAGCACCAGGGCAGCCATGGGCAGCACCGTGTTTGGCAAAACAAAAGTGAATTGGTAATGCTGGAGATTAAAGTTTGCTAGGAGGGCGGCTGTTCTGTCCTGAGGAATCTTTAAGGCGGAGAGAAGAAGGGGAAGAGGCCGGGGAGAACAAAGCCCTGTGTGTTGACCCAAGTAGCTTCTTCTGCTCTGCTGGAAGGGGAGAGTTAAGCTGTGTGGCTAAGCAGGTTGTGCCTCCTTTACCTATATGTGCATCAGTGAAGACAAACCCTGCAGTACTTAAATGGGAAATGGCCGTTCCTGTCCTGTTCCTGATGTTCATGGAAACAGAATCTGACAAGAAGAGTTGCAAAGTGCAGCCTTGGGTGAGACCTGGAGAGCGTACCTGGGGGGACCCGGCTGCTCTTTCCTCCTGAGCTTTGGGGCTTCAAAGCCGGCTCCCCTGCGTCCTCCTGAACCCGTCTTTTCATGGAAATGCCAAGCCCAGAATAGTGGCAGGGCCAGGGTGTGTGTGTGTGTGTGTGTGTGTGTGTGTGTGTGTGTGTGTGTAAGTTCCACCTAAGTTAATTAAAGCTGATGAAAGCCAGTCTTGGTAGCTGGGGGAGAGGGGCAGGCGTTCTCAACACTGATTTATTACCTTATTAATAAAAGTTAATAGGTGTGGCAAAGCAGTGCTGCTTTTAGGGAAATGATTCCTTGTTCTGCAGACAGCTCCGAGAGATCAGGTTTCTCGATTCGGGGACTGGAATCGGAAGAGAAGCGGAGCAGAAGGCGAGACCCATGAAGCTGGTTCCATAGGTCATCTTGGCGGGCGGGGGGCTGCTGTGGGCGTTGGCATATGACAGGGCTGGTGCCAGCTTCTGAAGGCCCAGAGGAGAACCAGCTCTGGGCAGAATCTCGGGCCAAAGGTCGGCACAGCATGCCAGGCGAGGTGTGGTGGAACAGGTCTGGGCAGGCCGCTGCGGGTCCTTTGCGGGGGTGGGTGGGGGGGAGGGGCGCTGCTTACCGCCTCAGTAGCAGCATGTCCTGTGGGTACGGTTGCTAACGAGGAGGACGCAGCCCCGGCCCAGGGTCTGTATTGGCGGCAGGAGAGGCAGGCCCTGCGCTGGGGTACCTGGCCCAGAAGGTGGGCGGGTGGGCGGCTGCCTTCAGGTGAGGCTGAGGTGCCGCTCGGAGTGGTCCGTCCTTAGTCTGGCACTGGGCCAAGGTTCCCTCGGGTGTGTCCCTGGGGGCCCAGGGCTGCTTGTGCAGAAGGGCTGGTTCTCCTGCACAGATACCTTTGGAGAGTGCCGGGCAACCGCAGGAAGAAGCGAACCTGGTGCCCCTGGGAATAATCCAGGCTTCGTGTTTGGGGTGAAATAAATCGGAACCGGTGACCATATATGGTGGACTTTGAGGGCAGTAAAAGGATTGTTGCTCCTTTAGCACCACTGATAACTGGCGGGGGGGGGGGGGGGGGGCAAGGCAGGGCCTGCCCTGGCTGGGAAGTGGCTGGCCGGAGGTTGACGTGTTCGGCTTGAACGGCTTTGCTGAGTTGCAGCTCTCCTTGGTGGGCAACAGGCTGGGGAAGGTCAACAGGCGAGTCCCTCGTTTTGCCCTGGGGAGAAAGCCCAGCTTTCCTGGGCTGTGGGAGGGGGGCCTCCCGGCCTGTGAGGCTCCGCCACTCGGTCGCAGCCACCCGCAGCCGCTTGCCCGGTTCTCCCATGTGCCGGGTGCCAGGAATTGTGGTCTGTCTGCAAGAGCTCTTTGTTTGGCTACCCAGAGGTGCCGCCCCTCCTGTGCCGGCTTGCCTTCCCCTCCCTGCCCGTGGCTCCGCGCTGGAACAAGCAGCCTGGGAACCGGCTGGTGCTGAGAGTCTCTGGGGCAGCCTGCTTGACAGACCCGGAGGCCCTCCTCTGCCCCGACTTCCTGGGCTCTGCTGGTCGCCAGCTGCGTTCTCCAGAGAGTGCAACGCACAAGGGAAGCGGGGCCATCGCTCCGTTGCTTTAGAGGGCTCCGAACCAGCAATTCGAGAGGGGATTCCTTCGCAAAGCGCAACGTAGCCTGGCCTTGTCTTCTCGGGCTGCCTGCCTGCCTGCCGGCCTGCCTGCCTGGGTGAGCAGCAGACGTTACCCTTGCGTTTCATGGCTGGTTGGTACGGACAAAGAGGGGATCTCTGACATGGGGGGGGGGGGGGAAGCAGAGGCCGTGCCAGGGATGCCTCTGCCTGGAGGCCAGCTTTGCAGGGGGCGGGGTTCGGCCCTGAAAGGAGGGAGACCCAGCGGCTGCTCTCTGGCTCCAGGGCCTTGGCGCAGGGGCCTCTCCGGGCGAAGAAGGCGACTCCACCTCTTGGCTACCCTTCTGCTGTGCTGCTTCGTCCCAGCGCTTCTCCCCGCTCCGTTGGGTGTTTGCCCCCAGAGCTTCCCTTTGGGGCTGGCTCTCGGGATGGCTGCCGCGGCTTGAGAATCCCAGGTGGCTCTGAGACTCCTGTAGGGAAGGAGCTGCCGGAGCCTGGTGGTGGCTGGGCCTGGCCTTCAGCAGATCCATGCAGGGAGACCCCCCTGGGCTCCTTCTGGGGAAGGGGCTCGTAGCCCCCCAGAGCTTAGAAGAGGGCCTCCTGGGGGAAGACCGTCCGGCCGCCTTGGGCCTGGGCAAAGAGCCCTGGTGCTCGGGTGGCCTTTGTGTCTGCTCCTGCTCAGCGCCTGGGGCCGCGGCCCTTGTGCCCTTCCAGAGAGCGGCCAGGGTTTTGTTTCCAGCCAGCTGTGGGCCAGGGTCTGCATGAGGAAGGCTGGGGTGGGGGGAGGAGGAGGAGAGGGCCACCCTTGGCTGCTGCCAGAGGAAGCGGCCCTGCAGGCTTGGAGGGCCAGAGGCCTCTCAGCTGGATGGTGAGGCACCAGCTCTCAACTCTGCTTGAAGAGACCTTGAAGGGAAGCCGGAGGGCTTGGGATCTGGGGATTTGGAGGCCCCACAGGGCAGACGCCAGGCATTCGCTCCCGGTGGAACCCAGGGAAGTGAGGAAGGCGCCTTTGGCTGGAGGGGAGCCCTCTGGGAGGATGGGTCAGCAGCCTGTGCACCTGGCCACCCAGAGGCCTTGCTGGACTGCCTGCAAGGCAGAATGGGGAAGTCAGCCTTGCTGTGGACCACGGGCTTGCTTCCGGCTGTCCCAGGGCTGGCCTGCAGGTTGGCTCTCTCAACTCACCCCAATACCCTTCTGACCGTGTGAGCAGGGCGGAGGCGGTGAAAGTGGAGGCGGCTGCAGGGCTTGATGGCTTTGGCCCCGGCTGCACGAGGGCAGAGAAGCACCGCCGTAGCCACGTCGACTCGACCCGGGTCCCTCTGGGCTGCCCCGGAGAGGAGGGTGTTGAGCAGGGTCCATGGCAGCCCCTTCTCCCCACCCTCTTTTATGCTGGGGTCCGGGCAGTTCTGCTTTGTCTGCTTCGGAGTGGATGGCCGTTGGTTTGCCCTGCCGCTGCGGGGCGATTAAAGTCTGCCGGTTACGGTAGAGCCCCTTAATTGCTGTGCTGTAATTTCAGGGTGAGGCCACAAGCCTGCCTAATGACAGAGACGGGTCTGCTCAAACCACGGCTGCCTTTTGGGGAAGGCTGGAAAGACGGCTTGTTTCCTGCCTCGGCCAGCAAACAATCTCCGGGCAGGGCCTTCCTGTTCCCGGGAGGCGAGGAGCAGCCTTCCGCCTCTGCTGACCTAGCCAGAGGGGTCTTTTGCAGGGACCTCTGCAAGGGGCACCGAGCCCCCTTTCCAAGCAGAGGAAGCACCCGGGATCTGGGTTTAGGGGTGTCTCAAGGGGTTTGTGGTGAAAAAGAAATGCTGGCGTCCGGTTCCTGCTGTGGGAATTGGCTGGGAAGTGGCTTGGATGAAATACCTGACTCCGTTTCCCTCCCCCCACCCCCCACGAAGACCTGGCCTTGGGGATCCCCCCTGGGAAAAGGTGGCTGCTGCCCCCCAACCCCCCCCCCCCCCGGAGCTGTTTGCATCCCCCAAATCAGCTGCCTCCTTTGGGAATAAAATGCTCGGGATGCAAATGTCAGGTTGGGTGCCGAGGGTTTCTTTTTTTTAACCCAAAAGCCAATTAAATTCCCGCCTGTCCTTTTCCTAAGGAGGCGAGAGGGAGTGGAGCAGATGGGAGGCCTACAGCTATCCCCAAGGGGAACCCCAGGACTCGGAGGGGGCAAGGCAGGGGCCAGCTTGGGGTCCAGGTTATCACTCCTGGGATAGGAGGCAAGCACGGACTTCCTCAGCCACTGAACGCCTTCTCCCCCCCCCCCCGACCCTCCTTTTCATTCACAGGACCGGCCTTGGCTGAATGCTGCTTCAGAATGGTCCCCCCCGGATCCCTTCCCAAGTGGGATCCTTGTGAAACGGGCCAGGACACTCAGGTGGTGTGAAAGGGCTTCTTGGGAATGGAACCGGATGGGTGTTGGGAGGCTAGCGGCGTACAATGCATCTGTGGGAGAGCTGTGGCAGAGGGTGCGCGCTTGCACGCCTGTGTCCGTGTGCTGGGGCTCCAAGGGAGAAGAATGGGGCACCGCTGGGGGGGGGGGGGGGGGGCGGAGAGCCGGCCCCTCTGGGGGGGCCTGGAAGCAGCTGCTATGGTTATGGGGAACATTTCCGGGGGAATAGGGAGCTAGGAGAGACGGCCCCTCAGCCTCCCACTGATGCCCATTGCTTTCTCCCTTTCTCGTAGGGGGCTCCTCCTCGCGGGACCCTCACCATCCCGATTCCATGAGGCCCTTAAGGAGAGCGATGGCCACACAAGTTGAACTCGGCTCTGCCCTGACCTCGCTGGCCGGCATAAGTGAACCGAGGACCGAGGCCGCCTTCCGGCACTCCTTTATCGGCTCGCTGTCTGACGCCAGCCGGAAGCCTGGGGAGGGCCCCCGTGCTCTGGCCCCACTCACCCCGGAGGGCAGGGGGCATCCAGTGGGCCCTGCCACCATGCCCGCCACCGTGCCCAGGCCCCCGTGGGCCCCCAAGCCCTTCTCCCGGGAGGCGTCTTCCGACACCTTTGCTACGGTGAAGCCGCCTGTCCCGGCACTCAAGCCCAGCAGTGCTACGCCAAAACCTCCCGCCCCCTTGGCCCAGACCTTTGAAGACGCTGCCAAGGGGCTGCCTGGAAACGTCCCTCCGCTGCTGGATCAGAAACCGATGGACAGTAGGAGCCCCGTGGAGCCGGCCGCCCCCCTGCCCTTCTACCCGGGTGCTCAGGCCAACACCCTCATCCTCTTTGAAAGCAGGCGGCCTGCGAAGGGGAGGGGCGAAGAGGGAGGCTCCAAGGCCCAGGAGGGGCAGCTGCTGCGCTCCCATTCAGAGAAGTGGCCCCCAAGGCAGCCCTCACTCTCCACGGACCCCAGGCCAGTCTCCTGGGCCCCTCACTGGAAGGAGGCCTTTGCGGGGGGGCCCAAGGGCTCGGCCGGCAGCCTTGAGCCACAGCAGAGTCCAACTCCGGCCACTGAGACCCACTCCCAGGCGGGAGGGGGACCCGCCGCCTCGGCTGGCTTTCGGGAATCCTGGCAGGAACCAACACAACCAGCTCCTCCCCAGGCAGCTTCTGGCCCAGGGAGCCCAAAGCCGAGGCCGCTCCCCCCGGACCTCACGAGTAGGTTTGAAGCCTGGCAGAAGCAGCCCTGCCTGGCTGAGAGCAAGGAGAAGAGCTTTCCAGCCGCCGGCGACGGGGCTCCGGAGGCCACAGGGGCGAGGAGCGCCGCTGCCGGCCTAAGTGGGGCTGCCCCATCTGGGCCCAGGGCCAAAAGTGCCGGCAGCCAAAGCTGTTTGCCCTCTGTTGGGGGAGCAGCTCCCCCAGGCCAGACTGTCCCGGAGGACGTGGGGCAAAAGTGCGCACAGGAGGAGGGAAGCCAGGGGAAGTCCAGCATGGGGCAGCCCAGGGCCGGCCAAGGCCGGCCTCTGTGGGAGACGGGGGAGGTCACTGCCCAGGAGGCTGGCTTCAGGAAGGCCGACCTGCCAGACGCCTCGGACGGCTGCCCTAAAAAGGCCGCCCCGCTCCTGGACCCCTCAGCAAAGCCTCGGGCTGCCCCCGAGAGCCAGTCCCTCCACTGCAGCCCCGGAAAGGAGATCCGGATCCTGAACATCCAGCAGAGGATTCAAGTGCTGACGGCAGAGAACGCGGCTTTCAAGGCAGGAGGCCTGCGCTGCCACTCCTTCCGCTCCCGGCCTCTTTCCGCAGATTTGACGAAGATGTAAGGGAGGGGAAGCAGCCCCCCTGAAGCTGGGGCCTCCCGGATGGGCTGGAGTTCACGCCCACAACCCCCTGCAGGGGATTCTGGGAGTGGAGGTCCAGCCTATCCGGACGGGATCCAGCTGGGAAGGATACTTCAGCATTCCAGGGAAGCATCCTCGGGCCTCTGAAGCTAATCAGGGCCCTGGGGGTGGAGGGAGGAATAAAGTTCACCTTTAACTGCCAGCACTAGAGGTCCAGTAAGGTGGAAGTTTACGGGTAATTTTACCAGCTCCACCTGGATCGGCATGATGGAAGGATGTTCCAGGGGTCTTGGACAAGCCTGGATGTAGGATGGAAGCCCGGGATGCCCTGTTGGCGTGCGGGCAGGCCGATTCTGGGGCAGGGGGAGGAAACCCTTGGGGGAGTCCAGCGCTAAGATTTTGTCAGCGTGGGACAGTGACAGCTGACAGCCTTTCAGCTGCAAAGGTTGGAGGGAATTGCACAAGGCCTGGGGCGTCTTCTGTGTTTTTCCCTCCTTAATGACGTGGGATCTTTGCCAACAGGTTTTCTGGCCCCGTGACTGCAGGGGAGCAGAAGCCCAAGAGGCCGCCTGAATGGTCCAGGAAGCCTGCTGGTGAAACGCAAGAGGCTCTGGAGGTGAGGGGGGCAGGGGAACCCAAACTCCATTTTCCCCCTCAGAGGGAAACCTACATTAGACGCGGCCTGAATGGCCCTGCGCGAAATGGGCCCTCTAAGCCCGGCAGGATCCCCTTTTTGGGTGGCCCAGAAAATCGACGGGTAAAGAGTTGTGGGGGTTTGTCCTTTTCCCAGTAAATTAGATCACGGTCCGACTGTTCTGCTGGTTTTCCCAAGTTTAAAGTTCCTCTCCCATAATCCCTCAGCCAGCATGTGGATTATGGGAATTGGTGTGTCCCAAGACTGAAGAAAGGCTCACGCCTTTCCTCAGCTCTTTCGAAGCCGCCTGAGGGCCGCCCGACCTTTGTGTTCCTCCCAGCCCTTTCTGGAAGGTTCCTTCCTCCTCCCCGTGATTCATTGATCTGTCAAAGGCTTCTGCTGGTTAGCTGGCTCTGCTCCATGCAAGTGAAAGTGGAGGTGTGCATGTAGGTGTGCGCCCAAGAGGTTGTGGTAGTTTTGCTTGTACGGGCAGCTTAGTAAACATTTGCCACAATATCTACATTTTTGCAAAGCTCCCAGGTATGTTTGCTGTGAAGTTTCTGCGGCCTTTGCACAAAGCTTGGTGAGGTGCGCCATTCCTTTCACGAACCTGAAATTTAAAGAGATTGTTTAAATTAGGGGCCAAATGCCCATCCACGTTACTGGATGGAGAGTGGAGTATATAACCTCCTTGGTATTGTTTCCTGCATTAAAAAAATTAATACACTGCTATGAACTATTTAAAGAAAAAGACCGAGGTGTTGTAACCTCGTGTTCCTGAGCGCTTTCAGCTCTGACTGCAAAAAAGAAAAAAAGACTTGATCTGGCAGGTGCCTGTTAGGTGTCCCAGACACCTTCCTAATCCCTGCGCATTTCTGCTTGTTTCAGGAGGAGACGCTGCCTGTGGGCAGAGCGGATGTTGGAGGAGCCGGCATGGCTGGCAGTCCCTGGAAGCCCCCACGGCTGGCAAAAACACCCTCCGTGGACGGCCCCCCCAAGAGAGAGGGCAGCTTTGCCAAAAGTGGGCCAAAGGTCTCTCTGCCAGCGGAAGAGCCTGGCCTGGTCTTCAGCCCCAAAGCGAGGACGGCGTCCAGTTCGTCCAGTGAAGATGCCTGCCTTAAGACAGTCAGAGCCACCATGTTTGAACACCACGTGGAGAGACACAGTGTGGTGGCCAGCCAGCTTGGCGCCGAACCGGCCTTGCTGTCCCTGAGGGCGACCTTCGGAGGCTCGCCCTCCCACGGCCAGGAATTTCGGCAGGAGAGAATGCTGGGAGACGGCCAGGCGACCAAAGCCTCCAACTGGGAGGCCGGAGGGCCCGAAGACCCCAGGCCTTTCACCGAGGACGAAGATCCCTTGAGGGAGGAGGATTCCCTGCTGGCGCAAAGGATCGAGCCCAGGTACGAGATCCTGCAGACCGTGGGGGAGATGGTGCAGAGCGAGGCGGTGGCAGCCGTCTCCGGAGGGAAGGCCGTCACTCTCCGCCGCCAGAGACCCTTGAAGGAGAATCGGAGGGCCGGGGGCTGTGGCAAGAGCGAAGGCTGGAGAGGGGCTTCTGGCCTGGGAACCGGCCCCTTGAAGGACCTCCCGGCCTCCGGGAGACAGGCTGTGTTGCACAGAGAAGGAACCGGGCCAGAGAGAAATCAGGCCGGGCAGCAGGCAGCCTCAGGGAGAGCAGCGTCTTTCAGGGTGAAGGATGGCGGCCACTTGGCCCCCTGGCTGGAAACCAGGAAGGAGAGGCGGCTCACTGCTGCTGAGGTCCAGAGGGAGGGGGCCACAGGGCCCAAGGGCCACACCCTGCAGAGGACTGGAGCCGGGGCGCCCGAGGCCGATGGCTGGGAAGGCAGGGCTGGCGTGCTGGATCAGAGGGCCAGCTGCCCAGGACTCCTCTTCAGCCTGGACCTGAAGCCCCCTCAGGGGCCAGAGGATCCCAAAGGGCAGAAGCTGCGAGCAGCCTGGGAAGCCTGGGAGGCTCCGGCGGAAGGAAAGGAGCCGCCAGAGCTCAGCCTGGAAGTGAGGTGGGCGAGCGGCGTCCGTGGTGCTTCGGCTGCCAAAGGTTCAGGCCGCTGGCGGAGGAAGACTGTGCCCCACGCTGGCTCTGTCAGGTTTGAGGGCCCGGGGGAACCCCGCCAGGGTGCTGCCGGATTGGCCAGCAGAAGAGACGCCCTGCATCCGATGGGTGGCTCAGCGGCAAAGGGAAGCCCCCAGGCCCCCTGTGGAGTGGAGCCCAGGCAGGCGGAGGTCGCCTCTCCCAGTGGCGCCCAGAAGCCGCTCTCTCCCTCGGAGCCCAAGGCCACGTACTTTGCAGTCACCTACCAGATCTCGGAGGAGATCGATAGCCAGCCTGGGAGAGCTGCGGCTGGGGCTCCTCCTTCCAGAAGTGCCCGTCCCTCCCCTTGCCAGCACAGAGAGAGCTTTTCGGAGGGAGGGAGCTCTCCAGCCGGGCCTCTCCAGCCGGGCCGCTCCAAGGGGCGAAGCGGCGCTTCTCAGGATCCACCGACCGAGGCCAGAGAGCAGGAGCTGCCGCAGAGACAGCCAGAGGCCACAGCCGAAGGGCATCCGGCCAGAGCTGACCTGGCCCTCTGTCCTGGGGCCAGGCCTCCTTCCTACTTGGCGCCCCTCCAGCAGCAGAGCCAGCAGCAGAGCCCTGGCTCCCTCGGTCTTGGGGGAGAGCAGCGGGAGGCCCCCGATCACTACAGGTCGAGAGTGGTGGACATTGACGAGCTGATGGCAGAATACGGGGGGGAGTCCCAGAAGCTTTGGGCCCGAGAGGAGGGCCAGAGCGAGAGCAGCTTCTTTCCTTGGGAGAAATGGACCCCCAGGACCTTTCCCTGCAGCTCTGACCCGAGAGGGGGGAAGGCCAGGGAGGAGCACGCCCTGGGCGGTGGCCAAGGGGCGGGCACGGAGGGCAGCCGTGTGCCTGGCAGCATGGATCCATGGGGGGCCAGAGAGGGAACCTGCAGTCCTCCCCAGTGGGGCAAGCCAGACACCGAGAAGCCAAAGCCACGATCCGCCGAGCCCCCCGGGCCAAGGTCGAAGAAGACAGCCTTTCCGGTTGGCAGGGAGCAAGGAGAGGGCACCGGGCAGGGCCCCCAGAGTGCCAAAGGGGCCAGTCCCGGCCCCCACCCTGCCCGTAGGGACCTCGGAGGCTGGTGGAAGGAAGCCGGTCTGAAGCAGTGGGCCGTCCTGGCCCCAGCCGGGGGGTGGTGCCCCAGCAGTGACTTGCCGGATGGCCAGCCTGGGTGGAAAGCTGAGCCCCAGGCCGGTGTCTGGGGGAAGGGCCCTCCCGCAGCGCGGCAGCCTGGGGCGGAGCGGAGCAGTGCCAGCGCATCCCCAGGGACGGGAGCCGTGCCGGACCTCAATCCTTGCTCCTCTGGAAAGAGCCACCCAAGCCCAGCGAGGCTCAGCTTCCCTTTGGGACCAAGGCTGGATCCAACCCACACTTGTCAGAGGCTCTGCCTGAGCAAGGGAAGCCTGTCGCCCGGGGACTGCCTCTCCCACGCAGGGACACGGGTACGTGTGGGCCTGGGAGTCGGGGGGGGGGGGCGTCTGGCTCCCTTGGGAGTTGAACTCAGCCTGCCTGGAGACATCCAGGGAGGAGGACAAGGGGGGCTGGCGAGACTCAGGGCCTGAGGGGTTTTTTTTGCAGGGGGGGGGGGGGGGCTGCTTCTCCACTGACGGGTCTCCTCCCAACAGGATCTCGGAGAAGGAGGCCTCCCAGTGGACCCTGATGATGCTGCAGCCATCAAGCACTCTCCGTTCCTCCTTGCCCAGCGACGGAGTGACAGTTTCTATAATGAGCGGAGGACTGATCACTGGCCAGGGGTGAGTGCCGCAGCCTCTTCCCTGGGCACCCAGTCGCCCGCTCGGGAAGCCCCCCCCCGGGGTGCCGTGGGTCAGCGGTTGGTTCCCCCAAGGATTGGGCCCTGGTTGGTCTCTGCCTTGGCGTGGGAGGACTCGGCGCAAGAGCTGGAGGGAACTGGCCTTTGGCCGCTCTGTGCTTCAGCCATCGGCTGGAGGGCTCCTGGTGGGGCTCGGTCCGTCCCCCCAGCAGAAGTGCTTCTAAGTGGGAGTCCAATTGGGGGCTTGCGGGGGAGGCCTGATGTCCTCCAAGGCCTCGTCATGGGGAAGGGATTGTGGTTTGTGTCCCCGTTGCCTTCATTTTTGTGGTGGTGGTTACAGTGCTGCTCCCGCCAGGTGGCTCTGCTCGCCTGGGGCTTATCGTGGTTTATGGCTTAGCATTTGGGTTGAACCCGGTTGGTCGTGGGCTATTGAAGAAACCATGTTTCCTCATAGAGGAACTTGGCTTGAGTCTGTCTCCTGGGGGGGGGGGGGGGGGGGCGGGGTGTTTGCTTCCGTCGGCCTAGGGGTGTTTGCTTGGGTTCTCCTCTGGAGGAGGCCAGGGGCCCCTGGGCTGGAGGTGAGGCCTGGCCTCTGAGTGGGCTGGCAGACTGTCCCCTCCTAAGAGGCTGCGGCAGAAGCGGCCTTGGTCCAAAGGAGGAGGGGCAGTAGGGAGGTTAAGCCCCCCTGGCCTGGGCTGATGGGAGACGAAGGGGCTGGGAAACTGTGGCGCTTCCTCTTCTGCCCCGTTGGAGCTTTGCGGGCGGGCTATAAAAGCCACTTATTTACCTGACCCATGACCCCCGAGGGGGGGGGAGGGGTCTGGGCTCCAGGGAGGCGTTCTGGACGGCCGGCTCCAGCTCTGACCTCCAGCAAGTAACTCCAGCCGAGGGACCCTCCGGAAGCTGCCCTGCCTGCCAGTGGGGAAACGGGGGGCTCCTGCAGCTGTGCAGACCTGCACTGAGATGAGCCCCCCTCCCTGCCTGCTGTAAGGGGGGAGGTCCTGTGGGGAGGAGCCTCGTCTGGGAGGGAAGGGCTGGGGCTTTCTCTGGGGCTGCCGCCCGCTGGTCCTGCAGGGTCTTGGCAAATAACCCCCGACCCTGAACGGTGATGAGCCTCCAGGGAGAGAGTGGGGCACCTGGCGGCCCCTTGCCCAGCGGAGTCCCTCCTGGCTCCGTCACCTGAGCGGGCCTTCCTTGCCCCTTCCCTTCCTGCTTTTGTGGGCCTTCCAGAGGAGGACCTTCTGAAGGGCCTTCGGCGGCACCTGTGGGGCAGGCCACACGAGGGCGGCAGCAGCCTTGCCCTCCAAGCACCCAGCTGGTTTCCAAGGTGCTTTGCCCGCCCTCCAGCATGTTGACTCTGGCCTTTCTGGAGCTGCTGGGTTGCTCAGGTACCAGGGCTGCTTGGGCTGGGAGCCGGTCCGGGCTCTTCTCCCCGGAGGTGGGATTTGAAGCCAGTCTGCCTGGAACTGGCCTGGTGGGGCCCGGAGCAGACCCCTGTTGGCCTAGCACGGGGGGCACCCTCATGCCGTGGGCCAGATCCCTCTTTCTCCTGGGGGAGGATGCCACATTGAGGTCAGCTGTATAAACCTGGCCTCTTCCCTCCTGGCGAATCACCCCCTGCCTGGGCCTGCTTCCAAACACAAGCGGGGGGGGGGGGGGGGGAGCAGCCCCCTGGCACTCCCTGCTGTGTCGAAGAGTGCTCCCCCTGCTGGCCACCCCTCCCAGCAGGAAGTGGTGTGGCCTGGGAGGGGTCGCTTGATTGGCATCTCCTTGCCCCCTGCAAGAGGTCCTGCCCAAGGCAGCACTTCTTAGGGGGTGCTCTCCTTGAGCCACGCAGGGCTTAGAACCAGGGGGGGTCCGAGGGGGCGGCTTTCAGAGGCCGGTTTCTCCTTTTCGCCTGACTGCGTCCATGCCTCCTGGGGCACAAGAGGGCCTTTGGGGTTCCGGCTGGCCATTGCTGGACCAAAGAGACCTTCAACTCCCATTTTCCCCAGCCAGCTCGGTCAGGGTAAAGGATTATGGGGTGCTGTGGTTAAAAACTCGGTGGCCTTGGCAGAGGTTGGCCTTTGGGGCGATTCGGCCCGGAGGCTGATCGTTAAATAGGGGAAAGGAAGAAGCTTCTGCCCTCAGATTTCAGATCAATGAAGCTGCCAGTTATTTTTAACCATCGCTGCAGCCTCTCCTCAGGCCAGTGGCATAAACAGGAAACTGCGGAGGGGGGCAGGAGGAGGGCGGCGGCAGCGTCTGACTCCTGTTGACGGAGGGAGGGGGGCTTCCAAACACCTGTGCCCCCTCTCCGCCTGCTATTTTTAGAGGGCTCAGTCAAGGCCACCAGCTCCAATGAAGCCATCTGCCCCCCATAGTTGGAGGGGGCAGGTCCCTTGGAAGGGAAAGCGCCCGGGAGGGACGGGGGGGGGAGGGCAAGAGAGCACCCAGGGCGCTTCCCTTGGCCTTGGTCCAGATGCCCGTTGCCCCCCCACTCACCCAGAGAGGTTGCCCCTTCAGAGCAGCCAAGGCCTGCTGGTCTGACTGGAGGGGGGCCTGGCAGCTGGGCCCCCAGGGGACATGGAGACCCCCGGAGTTTAGCAAGCGGGTTGCGGGCGGCACCGGGAGGAGGAGCCCTCCTTGGCAGCGGGCAGGCTCGGGAGACGGGGGCGAGCGGCTGGCAGGAGAGGATTAATGCGGGGGGGGGGGGGCGTGACGTGGCGGCGGCATCGGGCCGATGGATGCGTCCGAGTCGCGGGGCGGATGCTGCTGCTCCTCCGGTGGTTGCCATGGCGACTTCGCCCGCACTCCCGCGGGTCCCACCCGGCGGCCTGGTCCTGCCTTCCCGCTGTCGCTTCCCTCCCGGCAGAGCGGCGGCGGCGGCGGAGCCTTCTGCCCCCCCCCCAACTCCCCTCCTGCAAGCGCGGCCTTTCCAGCCGGCTGCGAGCGAGCGAGCGGTGCGCGCCGCCTCCCCCGCGCTCTCCTGGCTGGGCGACCGGCGAGGAGAGGGGCTCGGAGGCGCCTCGGCAGATGGGGGCCGGGGGAGCTGCGCCCGCGTCCTGGCCCGGACCGGAGCTCCCTGCGCGGGATCCGGGGCGCGCGGCGGCTGCTCCTCCCGGGCGGCGGCTGAGCGGGGGGGCTCGCTAGGCCGCCCCCGCCCCTCCCTCCGGCCCGGCCATGGACTCGCTGGGGGAGAAGGTGGCGGGGGCGCAGAGCCACGTGAGCCGCTGGGTGGGCTCGGTGCGCCGCTCGCTGCACGAGGCGCTGAACCTGGTGACGGCGGCGGTGGCCCCCGAGCGGGCGGCGGGCGAGGGGCCGGGCCGGGCCCCCTTCAAGCGCACGGCCTCCTTCAGGCAGCTGGCCTCGCGGGGCCGGGAGTCCTTCCGCCAGTTCTCGGTGCGCAGCCAGCGCCGGCTCTCCTCGCTCAGGAAGAGGCCCGCCGGCGGCCCGGAGCAGCCCTCGCCCACGCCGGAGCTCGTAAGGACGGGCTGGGGCTCGGGGGAAAGGAGGGAGACCCTCCCCGCTGCCCCTGCAGGCTTCCTCGCGCCTTGGTCCGAAGAAGCTGGGGGGGGGGGGGGGGGGGGGCGCCGAGGCCCTTTTCCCCCCGCGGGGCGGGGGCCGGGGGGGGCCCCCCCCCCCCGGGGCCGGCCCCGCTCCCCCCCCCAAGGGGGGGGGGGGGGGGGGGGGCGAGTGAAGGGCCGGGGCCCGTCTCCCCCAAGCCTAAGATGGTTCCAGAAGGGGCCGAAGGTTGCCAGCCTCTCTCGCAGGGTCCAGCTGGCGTGAGGCCGAAGGGGCGCTCAAGGTGGGGCAGGCTGGCAGATCCGGGGTTGAGGGTCTCCTGCTCCTTAGAGGGCAGAGAAGCCCCGTTGGCGTGGGGTGCCAAGCCCCCCACCCCGGACTGGAGCCCCCTTTAGAAATCCCAGCCCACCCGGAGCCGAAGAAGCAGCTTCGCCCAGAGGCCTCCTTTCAGGCTGGCCTGAGGCTTCTCCTCCTCTTGGGGGCTTTTCTTCTTTGATGTTGTCCTAGCCGGAAAAGTGGGCGGGGGGCTCGGGTGGGTTTGCTTTCTGCATGGTTTATCTTTGACCCACCACTCATTCCAGGAACTGGCCTGCTGGTCTGGCCTCCATTTCCCAGAAATGGGCAAAAGTCTGCCATAAGAAGAGGCGTCGCAGCCCCCCCCCCCAAAAAAAAAAAAAAAAAAAAGAAGAGGCCTTGGCTGAGCTGTAAGAGTGTTTGCAGCCCTAGGATTCTTAGCAATGACTGTGCTAGCTGGGGAATTCTGGGAGTTGAAGTCCACACAGCTTCAAGGGGTTGAGAGTGGGAGGCAATCCTCTGAGATTTCAAGAACCATTGTGGCGAACCGGATGGCGTCTGGCTCTGGCACCAGCTCCTAAGCCTTGTTTGGATTCTCTCCCACAAATATTTGCCCACAGGGGACTTTAACCAGGAGGTATGGCTGGCACAAGATCTGCCAGAGAAGTCTTCAGGTGATCTTCAAGGCAAAGTTCTCAGAAAGGTTGCTGTGCCAGCCCTCTGGAACGGCTGGGTGCTGTCCCTTGGGCGATACCACGTCTCAGCACGTGGGAACTTTGGCGCTGGCTGCGTGGTTGGTGGATAGACCAGAGAACTGAGTACTGCCTCCCACTAGGAACCAGGCGGCTCCTTGGGCAAGCGGCTTGGGCAGGGGGGGTTGAGCCCTGGACCACCGGACAGAGCGTCTTTCTCCCGCCACTGTATGCCTAGCAGAAGCCCTTCTGCAGGCAACGGTTGTAGACGGTGCCTGGTGACAAACCGAGTGGCTGCCTTCTCCAGCCAGAGGTTGGGTTTCTCTTCCGGTGTCCAGCGCTGCAGCTGCTCTGTTTCCCTCCTGACCGGCTGGAAGGCTGGCGCTGCTTTGGAGCCCTGCCGCCATGGCTCGGCGAGAGTTCGGGGAGGTTTGGGGCTTTTCCCAGCAGGGTGAGGGTCTCTCTCCCAAGGGGAAGCCCTGAACCTGGAGCCCTGGGTCAGGGCCGTTTCTGCTTGTCCTGGAGAAGGTGCCTGGCTGCCTCCTGAGTGGCTACCTGCTTCCTCCTCCCCCCGCCCTCCGAATCGCTGGAAACGCTGCAGATGCCTGGCTGAGTTGTTCTGGCTCTGGTTAAAAATACCCTGGAACGTTTCTACGGGGGGGGGGGGGGGGGGGGCGAGAGATAGAAAATCCGCTGGCGTCTCATTGAAGAAGCTGCTGGGAAGCCCCCTGGAGGGCTCCACAATTGCCTATATCCCTTTGGGTCCTTTTGTGACCCCCCCACCAGGCCTTGGCCATCTCTGGCTGAAGCCTTGGCCCCTTGCCCCCCCCCCCCTGCTTCAAGGGAGGGCCCCCCCCCCCCTGGGGAAAGGTGTGAGAACGGGGGGGGGGGGGAGAGCCTGTCATCGGTGAGGTCAGCCACTTCTAGGAACTGCCGCTTATCTGTGGCTGCAGCCGCCTCTTGCTCTGACGCTGCACACAGGCTCCCTTCTCCTGGAGTGTGTTTGTGTGTCTGTGTGGGGTGGGCTTGCTGGGTGTGCAAAGCAGACTCGCCCAGTTGTGGGCCTTGGAAGGAAACCCTTTGGAAGTGGGGGGGGGCCTTGCCTGGGGGGGGTGTATTGCGCCCTGGCCACTCCTGCTTTTCGCCAGCTGAACAGAAAGCAGGCCGAAAGGATGGGATGAGCGAAGGGCCAAGGAGCTGCGACCAGCGTCATCTTTGCTGAGCTCAGCAGTCGGGAGCCCTTCAGGAACCCTGGGCTTTTCCCGGGAGCAGGTGTTGAACTGCAGAGCTCTGCAAAGGGTGCTCCCCTCCCCCGGAGACAGAGAGCAGGTTGTATCCGGCTCCTTTCAAAGCCTCTCTGCCATCCCTGGCTGCTGCCTGGCAAGCAGGACACGTTGGTCCTTTCCTCTGGGTGACCCTCCGGCTGAGGGCGACTCGCCCGGCTCTTTCGTGGGGCAAGCCCGTGCCAGGGAGGATTCCTCCATCTCTCTGGTGGGCGGAGGGATGTAGTGCCCCCGCCCCCCGGTTTCCTTGGCTGGCTCAGGAAGGGGGTGCCTGCTGCGTCGGGTGTGTGTGTGTGTGCAGCACAGAGCCCACCCCCCCCAGCCACGGGGGCTGCAGCCTGGACAGGCAATGGGTATCTGGGTGAGTAGTGGTGCAGCAAGGCCGCATTGTTGGGGGTTGCGCTGCCGGAAGGCGTTGGGGGGGGCGCCCAGAGGTGGCTGTGGGAGGTAGAGCTGGGAAGCCTCAGAGAGATTCCCCAGAGGGTTTTCCCAGGAGGTGGGTTGGCGGGGGGGGGGGGGGGGGCTGGGCCTTCGGGGAGAGAGCTGAGGTTTGCTTGCCACTGGTCCTTTTCTGGATTTCTCTCTTGAATTCCCATTTTGGTCATTCCGCTTTTGTTGTCTTCCAGGCAATAGTGCCCGAGTCTGTTTTTTTCTCATCGTCTTCTGAAGGCTTGTTCATTGAAATCTGCGTCTTTTCTGAGATATCAGTTATTGACATTTTGGTCCGTGTTTAAAAAACCTCTTGTAGGGAAAAGTTGCAGCTGGCTTGCTGTTTCCCCTCTTTTCCGTCTGGCCTTTGAGTTCCCTCTAGTGTCCATTTGCAGCCTTCCTCAGGCCTCCGTTCCCGGCAGGGGTTCAGGTCCACTTCAGTCGGAAGTGGAACTGTATATGGTTTTTCAAGTCTTATAGCAAAAATAACCAGTGTGTCAAATCTTGTTGGTCTCCCAGTCCGTTTAAAGCTTTCTTAAATCAAGACTCTTTTCTGTTTTTGCCAGTTATATATTATTTAAAATTCTTAAGTCCCTCTTTAAAACCTCTCCAATCCAAAAAAGGTACAAATCTTGAGGTGTCAAATTAAACTCACTGTTTTGAAGTTCTCTAATATCCACAAAGCGGTGAAATGGAACATTTACCAACGTGATTAGAAAAGGTTTTTTTCTGGCTTCCTGTCGTTATGAAAGGCTCTGCGGCTGCGAAGAGCAGAGATGTCGGCTCCCCACTGTAAAATCCCCGGAAACTCTGCTTCCATAGGGAAGTTACAGCATTTGGCCTGCTGGGCCCTTGGCTGTGGAAATTGGGGGGAGGGAAAGGGCGGAGGTGCTGCCCCCCCAGCCTGTTCCTCCTGGCACCCAGATCCCAGGTCTCTCTCCGGCAGAGGGTGATGCCAGCTCCCCCTTCTCATCTTCCCCAGGACCACTTGAAGCAGTGCTTTGGCCGGCCGTCAGCAGAGGCCAGGGACACCGACGTCCTCGTGCAGGAGGCCGACGGCAGGTATGGCACCTGGGGCGACCAGCATCAGAGCGGAGACAGGTGAGGGCCAGGGAGGGGGAGGCCGAAGCTGCGGCTCCCACGGGCACATTCGCACCCCCATTTCCTGCAGTCCTGCAAGAAGGGCAGGGGAGCTACGAGGACCCCTCCCTGGCCCTGGGCAGCACCCCCAGAGCCAGCACTGGCTTCCGAGCGGATGGGAAGGGGGGGGGCTGATGGGGGCAGTGGGGGCCTCCAGCTGCTTTCTCCCTGCTCAGTCAGCTCCTTGGCCGGGACCCCGTTGGGGCGAGGCTCCCTCTGTGCTGCAGCTGGCCAGGCAGCTTTGGGGGGCCTGGGGGAGAGAAGAGGCCCATTCCAGCCCCTCCGGCAGACACTGGTGGCCTGTTTCCTGCTGCTGCTTCCCCCTCCCCAGAGCAAGCCCCTCCCTCGCCTCAGGAGAGGGCGGGGCCCTGGCAATCATGGGAGAGGCTCCCAGCTGCCACTCGGGGGCCTAATCTCACCCGGTGCCTCTCCTAGCTTCACCCCGGAGTCTCCTTCCTCGGAGGGCAGCATGGCCCCCGCACAGAAGCCGTCTCCTGGCCGCCCAGCCTCCTGGTACTCCTCCCAGAGGGGCCCGGCCACGGCCACTGACCGACCGGATTTACCCAGGGAGCAGAGGAGCCACAGCCTGGACGGTTCCAGCCCGGACGCCAGTCCAGCCAAGCCTCCCGCCACCGAGAAGGGCAGCCCAGACTTCTCCTTCCTGGAGGTGGGTTGCCGGGCAGGTGCCCCTGGCTCTTTTGGGTGGGGGGGGGGTCTGTGCTTGGGCTGTAAGCCGGTCTCTTTTTCTCTTGCAGTCAACTGCCCGGCTGGACTCGAGGGTCCTGAAGAGCCGCGTCCTGCTGGGCAAAAAGCGGCAGCGGCATCGGGCCCCCGTCTCCCACACCCTCAGGAGGAGTGCCAGCGGAGATGCCCAGCCGGACCCCTTCTCTGCAGTGGGGGGAGCAGCCAGCGGCTGGATGTTCAGGGACTCCACAGGTGGGACCGGTGGGAAGGTTGTTGCAGACAGGAACGCCCCCCCCCCCTCGCCAGCATCTCGGGGGGGGGCTGTGGGGTGCAGAACTCCTGGCGCTGAAGGGCTGGGTGGCAGGAGCCACAGTCCTCCCCCTCAGTCCTGAAGCTTCTGGCGGGGGAGGGTTCAGTCTGCCTGGTGATAACTCTCCTTTCCCCTCCCCTCCCCCCTTCATGGTGAAGAAGAGAAGCCCCCCAGGGCAGGAGAGGAAGAGGAGGAGGAGGAGGAGGAGCCCCTACCAGCAGAGAGGCTGTTCCCTGCCCAGCCGCGGCCGCCTCTCTTTCCAGGCCTGGCCCCCTCCGCCCTCAAGGTATATCAGGGAAGGCCCCCTCCCAGCAGAAACCCTGGAGGTCCCAGGAGGCTGGGTTCTGGACACAGCTGGGGTGGGGTGGCTCCCCCCCCCCCCCGAGGGCCGTGGGCTGCTTCCCCGCTTCCTCCTGAGAGGGTCTGGGGCTTCCTCCACAGGCTCAACTCAGGAAAAGGCAGGAGTCGGAAGGGAGGAGGGAGGACGCCCCCCCTGCGCCCCTCTGCAAGTCGCCCAAAGGTCCGTTTCCGGCCAGGGGCTCCGGGGGCCGGGTGCTGGCGGCCACCCCCGAGAAGGAAGGGAGGTGAGAGAGAAAATGGGGTGGGGGGATGTGGGAGCCACATGGCCCTGAAGGCCACCGGGGGTGTGTGGGTGTGCCAGGGTTGCCCCCTTATCTCAGCAAAGCCTCCCCATGCCCCCCCCCCCCAGCAGGGGAAGCCCCTCCAGGGTGGCTGCTGAGGCTCTGCTGCCTTTCAGGCCGGAGAAACTGCCCCCCCCCATGGCTGACGGAGCTGAAGTCCAGGAGGAAGCAGGGCCAGCCAGAGAGCCCCATCTGAGGTGCGGGGTGCGGGAGGGGCAGTGGGGGGGGTGCCAGACAAAGCGGGGGCTGGCCCTGGCCTGGGCAGCTCCCTGCCTGCCTGCCTGCCTGGGTGGGGGAAGAGGCTGCAGGTGATCCAGGGGAGGCCCAGGCAGGTCAGATGGCCTGATTCCCACCCCCCCCACTCCCCGCTCTTTTCCAGGTTGAAGCCATGACTGGCCAGAGGAGGAGCTGCCTTAACTGACCGCCGCCGTTTCCCTGCCCTCCCGAGGCTCCCTTGCCTTGACCTGCGCTCAGTGCCTTCCTCTGGGTGCCCTGCCTGACTCCAGCCTCGGAGGGGGGCTGTGGGACGGCCCCGGCCCCACCAGCCTGCATCTGGGGCTGCCCCGAACGCTCCGCCTTCCTGTGGGGAGCTGAGGCCAGGACTGCGATCCGTGGAGAGGTAGGCGCTTCAGCCTTCCTCCTCTCCGCAGGAGAGAGAGACGGATCCCGCTTGCTGCCCTGCGCAGAAGGGAAAGGGACGCCGCTCGTTTCTTCAGGATCCGGTTCTGATCGTCTGGACACGTCCGTGGACTTGCTGCTTAGCCAGGGGCCGCGTGGCTCAAGGATCAGAGGAAGAGGGTTTCTGGCACGGGCCACTGAGCCGCCCTGTCCTGGGAGAGAGTGAGAGAGGAAGCAGCAAAGCCCAGCCAATGTCTCCTCCTCCTCCTCCTCCTCGGGGTTTCTGTAAATCAGCCCCCCCCAGGTGGCCTTTTCGTTGGACAGACAGGCGAAAGGCCAATTGGCTCAGGCCCTGAATCGTCTTTGTCAGCTGTCGATTTCCTTGTCAACGTTTGGGGCAGGGAATCCTGTGTTGGATTCCGGCCTTTCCAAGAGTCCGGCTCTCTCCCGCTTCTAAGCCTGGGGAGATCGGTCAGCAAACGAATGGGCCTCTGCGTGGCCGGGGGCGGCATCTCTGGGAACAGGGCAGAGACCCTGGCAAGCCCCTTTCTGCTCCGTCCTGGTCAACTGGAGAAACCCCAAGTTGGGCAGTTCTGTGAATGCATCCGCTAGTGGTGGTGCTCGACCTCTGAAGGGCCCCTTGGTTATGCTGTGGGGCCCCTAGGAAGCCCCCTTAGCAGCACGGCGGCTACCCCAAGGGTGCCTGGCAGGCTGGCTGGCTGCTGAGTCAGCCCTGTGCCCAATCTCGGGGTCTGCATTCCTGCCTCCTGAGACCCTGCTGGGCTTACACACTGCACACACACACACACACACACACACCCCGAGAAGTGCTTTTCTCAAAATGCTCTGGCACCCCCAAGGGTTCAGCCAGAGACCTTGGGCCTGCGGGGGGGACCGCCAGCTGCCTCTGTGCCTCCCCGGTGCCAGTCCTGGATCCCGGCTTCCTTTCCTCCCTTCCTTCCTTCCCCAGCTTGGCACAGGGAGGCCCATCTGCTCCGCCAGCCCTCGGGCACCCTGTCCATTGTTTGGGGGAGATGGCCCTGCCCCCTGTGCCACTTGGAGGCAGCCTCTCCTGGCAATGCCAGCAGGAAGTCCGGGCATCTGCAGCATTTCTGAGGCTGGGAGAGCTCCCCTGGGAGCCGCAGAGGGAGGCTGTGCTCCTCCTGGCCACGTTCCGTCTTGACCGTCTGATTAAAAAGCTTGCTCAGAGCAACCGGTGTGGCTGAGGTTTTCTTTCTTGTCTCCGTGGGGGGAAGCAGCAGCATTACTTCCCTGCAGGTGGAGGGGGAGGGTGCTGGGCAGGGGCATCCAGGTAGTTTGCCTGCTGCCTCCTTCCCAGGTCCGAGGGAGCAGCTGCCCTGCACTTCCGTCGAACCCTGTTGGCCAGGCTCCCTTCAGCTTGTTGCCACAAGGGGGAGCCCTTGAGGCGTCCAGTCTCCCAAAGCCACTGGGTGCCTGCAAAGGAGACCCTGCCTCGGTCTCCCTCGGAGCCAGCGCTGGAAACGGGAGCCCCACCGGCCCCTCCCCCCATAGTAGCAGCTAAGCAGGGGGGGCTACACCCGGCCAGGCCCCGGGGGAGCTTCTGGGGTGCTTTCCTCCTCCGGCCTCCTTTGGGGAGCGGGACTTTCCAGGGGCAGGAAGTGCCCATGGGCTGCTCAGGAGCCTGACAAGCATGGACAGTAGCAGCCGCTTCGGGAAGGCCCAGCATAGGGCCTGGGCAGCTGCATGGCAGGCCGCTTGCCCCCAACTCCCGCTGGACCGCCCCCCCGGAGGAGAAGGCCTCTGTGCCTGGATTCCCCGCCTGCTTGTAAGCAGAGACGCCTGGACCCGATGACGGATGTAATTCCTGGCTTCCCACAGAGAGAGGCCTCTCCGGCCACCTCCAGCTGCCCGGAGCCCTTTCGTGCCATGGAGAAGCCCCCCTGCCCCCGTCAATGGGCTGGTTGGGCGCGTTCCGTGCAGGGCGCGTTGCAGGGACCAGCTCTGGCTGACACGGCCCTGGGGCCACTCGGGAGGGAGGGGGGCAGAGGGTTTCTGCAGCGCCAGGCCCTGGGGTGGCTGCGCCTGCTGAGCTCAACAAAACCGGCCTCTCCTTGCCCACCGAGCTGAGCAAGCAAAGCGGGCAGCTCCAAACTGCAAGCTCATGAAATAACTGCCAGGACAAAGGCGGGGTGGGGTGGGGGCTGACTCTGTTTGTATTATACTTTAATCCAGCATTCTTGGTTTGGGTCACATGTTGATCAATACTGCTGGCCTGGGACTCTGCCGCCTGCTATAAATGGTGGGGCTCAGCCGCGGGTTTTCAGCAGCAGAAGCCAATTTTGGTGCAACCGGTAGGGATCCTCCACTTCGCTTTTCCCTGGGCTTGACGGTGCCTTTTGCGTGGGGCTCTTTCCCAACCGGGTTGAATCCGATAGAGGAAAACGGCAGATTGGCAGAGCAGAGGCAGGGACTCTGCAGTGGGCAAAGGGAGGAAGCTTGACCACTTGCTTGGCCAGATGGCCAAGGTCCCTGGGAGCGGTGAAGGCAGGATCCCTTTTCCGCTTCCAGGATTTTACCGGGATTGGAGAAAGAGGCTTCTCTCCTTTCTCCTTACTGCTAATTCCCACCCCCTCCCCGGTCCCTCTTATTGGCAAGCACCCCTTGGCGAGTCTTTCTCCGTCCCTCTCTCCCCAGGCCAGTCTCGAGCTGGGCAATGGCCTGGCTTCTCCCCTGGGCTGGAGGGGTGGCAGGTGCCCTCCTGGGCATCCAAGCCTCCAAGAGGGGAAGAAGGGAGCGGTGGCGGCCCTTCCGGAGCATATCGGGTGTACGGGGTGCGTGCTACCCCTGCTGTGACTTCTCTCCCCAGGGAGCAGCCCCCTGTCACCATGGCCTTGGACCACCAGACCTCGAAGCAGTTGCAAGCCTCTTCCAAGGTCAGTGGGCCCAGCCCTAGGCAGCCACGGGCAGGTGGAGGGCAGCCTGGCTGGACTGGCCGAGGGAGGAGGAAGGGGCCTTCTGACCAGCGGCTGCCTAGGCAGAAGCCACCTTGTTCTCCCCCTCCGTTGGACGGGCCCCGAGGCAGAGGATTCCTTCCCCTCTTGGTCCCGGGCACCCCAAGGCTCTGGCGGACCCCTCTTCTCGCACTTCCAGATCGCCCTCTTCGAGCAGGAGAACTTCCAAGGGCGCTGCCAGGAGCTGAACAGCCCCTGCCCCAACTTGAAGGAGGCCGGGATAGAGAAAGTCAGCTCCATCATGGTGCATTCTGGCCCGTAAGTGCCGGGGGAGGGGGCTCGGGGCAGGGAGGCCATTGGCCGGGACAGGCTGGGGCACCCGTGGATCGTCTTTCCCACCCCTCGAGCCCCCCGAGTGCTTCAGTGGGAGAGCAGCTCTAGTGGGGCTCCTGGGGGGGGTGGGGGGCTTCCAGCTGGGGCTCACCCTGGCCTCTCTTTGCTCCCAGGTGGGTGGGATATGAGCAGGCCCACTTCAAAGGGGAGCAGTTCATCTTTGAGAAGGGGGAGTACCCCCGCTGGGACTCCTGGACCAGCAGCCGCAGGAGCGACACCATCTCCGCCTTGAGGCCCATCAAAGTGGTGAGTGACCAAGGGGGGGGGGACCCTCGGCCAGGCCGCCCTGCGATGGGGCTCTGCCCTGGGGAGGGATGGCGATGGCGGCCAGGCAGAGCCACGAGAGGAGGGATGGCGATGGCGGCCACAGGGAGGATGCCCGGAGAGCCCCCCCCCCCCCGCCCTGCCCTCAGGCCGGACGGGCTGCGCTCGAGTGAGCCGGAACAGCACTCAAGAGCGCATCCGGTTTGGGCCTGGGGAGCTCAGCAGCTCCCCCCGCCCCCACTCGGCTGGGGCCCTCCCTCTGCCCCCCTCCTCCTCCTCCTCCCTGCAGGACAGCCAGGAGCACAAGATCGTCCTGTACGAGAATCCCAGCTTCAGCGGCAAGAAGATCGAAATTGTGGACGACGACGTGCCCAGCTTCCACGCCTATGGCTACCAGGAGAAGGTCTCCTCTGTGCGCGTGCAGAGCGGCACGTGAGTCTCGGGGACCCTTCCTTGGGGAGCCGCCAGCGGGCCAGAGGGGGGCTCCAAATCTGGGGCCCTGCTTCTGGGGGCATCCTTGTGCGAGTGGAGGATGGAGCTCCGTGCCCCCTCCTGACCCGGCCCTTGTCCCGCAGGTGGGTGGGCTACCAGTACCCTGGCTACCGTGGGTACCAGTGCCTGTTTGAGAAGGGCGACTACAAGGACAACCTCGAGTTCGGAGCCCAGCAGCCTCACATCCAATCGGTCCGGCGCATCCGGGACATGCAGTGGCACCAGCAAGGCGCCTTCTACCGCAGCAGCTAAGCCCCGGGAAGGCACCGGAGTGCCCCCCCCCCGCCTCCCAGTCTTCCGCCGCCGCCTGGCCAGCCCCCCTCTCCGCTCATTGCCTCTGCCTCTGCTTTCAACCCTGAATAAAGCTTTTGTCATCTGAAACGCTCTTGCTCTTCCCGGTCCTCGGCGTCCGTTTCTCCTTCCCACCCTGGGGGTCCCCGCAAGGAGGAGCTGAGCCCAGGAGCCCTCCCCCTGGTGGGCCTTCAGGCAGGTCTGGTAGGCTGCCCTTGGCGTGGAGGGGCCAGCCGGCAGCAGTCCCGAGTAACCATCGCTGCCCCCTCCTCCTTTCTCATCCCTTTTGAAACTGGTGGGGAGGGGGCTTTCGAAGAAGAGGCCGGTCTCTGGGCAGCTCTGCCTGGGACGGAGGCATTCAGGCAGGGTGCAGCCACTCCAGACCGGCCTCCCTAGCCACTCCAGGGGCCTCTGGCGCTTTGCAGCTCCTTGGAGGGGAGGAGACGGCCAGCTGGCTGCGCACACAGAGCAACAGGGCTTTGGCCTGGACTGGTGGGTTGGACATTGAGTGGGGCAGATCTCTGGGGTGTCTGCCTTGGGCTGCCCAGGAAGCAGGGAGAGAAAAGGGCTGATTCAGCTGGCTATTGGCAAGCCTCCCCCTCCTCACTGCCCAGCCGTGTGGGATCTGATGGGATTAAGTGGTGCCAGTGGCCGAGAGTCCCTGGAAGGGGAAGGGCTCAGAGCAGTTTGCCCCGTGTCCAAATATGGCAGGAAAAAATGTGAGCGCAAGAGCCAGGCACCAGGTCGCTCTGCAAAATATTTAGGCCCGTTTTTTAAATTCTGCCCAACGGATGGACGGAAGGCTGGGGACAATGGAGCAAAGTTGTTTTTGTCATCATTGCTGGAGTTCTCTTCACTGGAGGAGGAGGGGGGGGGGGAAGGGGGGGGCTAGGCCTTACTTTGGTTTTCCAGCCTTTTAAGTTCTCTGGGCTTTGGCACTTTTGAGAGCCCGGTTGCACGAGGGTTGTGGAGGTTAATTTCCTAATTGGAGAGTCCTTTGGAGGTTTTGCAAACCAGACTGTTCAGGGAGGCTCTTCTCATGGCAAAACATGTTTCTGTAAAGGACAATCGCTTGGCATATTTTTCTTAAAAACGTTTGGGTTGCTGAGCAGGAGATGCAAAGATTGCGATCAGAGGGGTTGGGAAAGGCCCGCCTGCAAATGTGTAATGAAAATCCGAAATACTTGGCTGAGTCGGATTGGGGTCTTTGAAGGAATCGAAATTGGAAGCCCCCCCTTGTGACCGAGGCCGTCTCCAAAGGGCAGCTGCCTGGGCAGTGGGGACCCTCAGCCGCCAGCTGGCTTCCGAGTGCTGGGAGCGGCAAGCAAGGAGCATAAGGGCTTATTGCAATTTAATGGAGGTTTTGCAGGTAATAATCCCAGGAATGACCCTGGCGGAAGTTAATTTCCCTCACAACTGTCTCATGCTTAACCTTTAAAAGGAGATACCTGAGGAAGCCAGGGAGGCTCTGGCAGGGCCTTCAGTCCTCGGCTGGCAGAAATGCCCTCTGGGTCCGGCTGTTGGAAACACCAGGCAATTTTTTCTTCTGCACAATAAAATGAATGCAATTAGAAAGAGCTCGTTGTTGTATTCAGTTATTTTCAAATTCACCTACTTGAACCGAGAAACAGGGAATGTCCCTCCCGCTCTCTTGTCATCTACCTGATTCATGTTCCAGCATTATTTTATCCCTTCTGAATTATTCTTTTTCCAATACACCAACTGGGGGCCTAATACAATCCGCATCGGCCGCCAAAGGGGAAGAAGAGAGATTCCCCCCGCAGGGAAAGCGCCGCCTCCGAGGGGGCTTCCAAGGCTGCGGCGTAGCCCGAGGGGGTCCTTGGGGAGGCCTCCCTCCTGAGGCAAGCGAGCCAAAGCGGCCGCTCAGCGGCTTCAGGCACCGGAGGAGGCCGGGCAGGTCCGGGCAGCATCGCCGGGGCCGGGGAGCCTCCCCCCGCTGCCCCGGGGCTCCCCCGCGCGGCGGCCGCCCCCCCCCCCCCGCCCGCCCCGCGCTCCGCCTCGCCCGCCTCGGAGACGCAGCCCAGCGCCGCAGCTCCAAGGACGCCGCCGCCGCCGCCGCCGCCGCCGCCTCCTTCCCGAGCGGTGGGGCGAGCAGGGCCGTTGCGCCGAGGACGATGCCGGGGCGGCGGAGCGCAGCCCTCCGCAGCCCCGCCGCCTAGAGCCCCGTCTCGGCGGAGCGCCTTCCTGAGCGGCGGCGGCGGCGGCGGCGGCGGGGCGGGTAGCCGGGCGGCGTTGGGTGGCCCCGGGCCCCGCGGGCCCCGCCAAGATGGCAGACCTGGAGGCGGTGTTGGCGGACGTCAGCTACCTCATGGCCATGGAGAAGAGCCGCAGCTCCCCCGCGGCCCGCGCCAGCAAGAAGCTCGCCCTGCCGGAGCCCAGGTGAGGCGGCCCCGAGCGGCGGGGCGGCGGGCAGGGCCGCGGGGGGGGGGGGGGGCTCCCGGGCGGGGGGGGCCCACGGGGGGGCGGGGGGGGGCCCCCCGCCCCTCCCCGGCCCCCCCCCCCCCCCCCCCCGCCCACGAGGAGCAAAAACGCCCCCCTTCTGGCCCTTCAAAAAGCCCCCCAAGCTCTGTGGGCCTTGTTGAACTGCAGCCCCCCCCCCAGGAACTCCCCCCCCTCTGGCCCTCAGGGGTTGCCCAGAAGGGGTTGGGATCAAGGGGGCTCCCGTGGGGGGCCTGTGCCAGGGCCCCAGGTTGCACTGCAGGGGACCAGTTGGCTGAAGCTGCTGCCCGGCCTGTTTCCTCTCCCAAAGAACCCCGAATGGCTGAACTGTGGGATGAGCCCTGGGGGGCCCTTCCTCAAGCCAGCCTCGGGCTCTGTGGCCCCGGAGAATCCCTCCAGGGGCTGCTTGACCAGGAACAGCAGAGGCAAGGACTGGGGGATTCTGGGAGTTGAAGTCCGCACAGCTTCAAGTGGCCGAGGTTGAGAGACGCAGGTGAGCGTCTCCTGGCTGGCTCTCATCAAGAAAGGAAGGAAGGAGGCTGGGGGGGGGGGGGTTCTAAACTCCACTCAGACACAAGGTCCCACCTGTATGGTGGATATTTTCTGCAGCAAGAGCCCTGGGTCGCTTTTTTTGTCTTGCCAATCAGCGGAACAGGAGTTCTTCTGTGGCTTTTAAAAATAATGTCTATTAAACGGGCATCCAAAGGTATGGCAGGCTGGCTGTCACTTGGCCAGCGAGACCAGGGCTAGGAACGGTGGGCATTCCTTGATGCGGCGGGTGGGGGGGACGGGACACGACTTCAGCCTGTCCATGGCAGCACCTGCCTTCTGGTGGGGAGGCCCCAAGAGTGGGGGCTGGGAAGGACCCCCTCACCTGCTGAAGAATTGGGGGTCAGGATGGGTTTGGTTGTTGTGGGCTGAAATGCCTGCTCTCAGTTTGTTTCTCTACACTCTCTGAGAGGCAGCGTGTGTGGGGGGAGGGGGGTTGCAGGGAAGAGGGGAGTCAGGCGCCCACTTAGGGCTCCCCTGGGGCACGTCGGGGGGGGGGGATTAATGCGGGAGATGCAGCCTTAATTGACTTTGCTCCTCCTGCCTAATGCAACCTCGTGTGGATGAAGGAGGAAAGCACTTACAGCTGCAAGCTGAGAAAGCGTTTTACCCCCATGATGAAGGGAAGCAAACCACTTCCTCACAGTGTGTAGCTGGTGATGTTTGTGTTCGAGCCGCAGAGTCGAGTCTCGCCGGGAGGAATCGAAGGATTCAAAGGAGAAAAATGCTCTTCCTCCCTGACCGCTGCTCTCCCGCCACTCCACATGGGGACCAGCGGCCTTTAGCAGGCTACGGACGCTCCTTAAGGAGAGCGAGAAAGACCCTTCCCTGGGAGAGCCTCTCAGGCCAGCTGGGGCTGCGGGGAGGAGCAAACCGCCCTTCAGGGAAGGCCTCTGGTCTCAGGTGCCTTTCAGACTGGCCGAGACGCGGCCCAGTGCTCGGCACGTGGCTGGAGTTGCAAAGGGGCTGCATCAGGTCAGACCACGGCAGTCGTTGCCCCTTGAAGTGGCTGAGGTCTGCTACCTGGAGCCGGAAGGCCCCTTGCAGATTCCCTGGCTGGCACCCACCGCTGCCTGGGGAGAGAAGTGGTGGCTTCCTGCTGGAGCACTGCAAACCGTCGCAGGCTCCGGCCCGGAGAAGGCCGCGGAAAGAACCACCGCGTTGCGTGGCTTATTTGTCTTCAGCAACACGCACCCTGACCAAAACGGTAGAAACACTGGTTGAATCCCACCCCTGGAGAGGATCCCCGGCCACCCCACAAAGTCTCTGCCCACGAGGCCTAGGGAGGGAGCCCAGGTGGGGGTCTGGCGGCCCAGTTAGCCAGACGGGGCTCCGCTCACACAGCTCTGGCCTTTCGTTCTTCCAGAGCCTTTTCTGCCTTTCAGCATCCGCAGCGTCATGCAGAAGTATTTGGAGGACAGGGGAGAGCTGACCTTCGACAAGGTCTTCAATCAGAAGATCGGTAAGTCTTGGGGCGAGTTGGGGTCCCAGGTCATGCAGGGCGAGGCCCGACCCGAGTTGGAGGGGAAGCCCTGGCTTTGTGCTGCCGGGGCCACCGGGGAGCAGAAGCAACGCCCTGCCCCAAGCACTGCAGGGGAGGGGGGGTGCCAGCCTGCGGAGGGCTGAGCTGCCGAGGGGGCTGAGCCTTGGCCTCGCTGGGTAGCCAGCAACCTGCACAGCCGCTCGTGCAGCTGAGAGAGCAGCCGCTGGACAGCTGTCCCGGCTCAGGCACTCTGCTCTGGCCAGCCACGGCAGCTCCCTCGACAGCCTCCGCCAGCAGGATGGCGCTCCCAGGCGGGCAACTCTGCTGCAGGGCCCTCGCCTGCCCTTCGCCTTCAGGATTTTGCTGGCAGCGGCTGACACTTCCTGGAGAGGGGAGCCTGCGGTGTGGGGCTTCGTGTGGCACGGCCTGCCTGCGAGTGGGGGTGACGGGCCAGGTGGGCTGAGGGGTTGCTTTCTGTGGAGGGGCGTGGAAATCCCGGGAAAGACTTGCCCTTAGAAGTGGAAACAACGCCAAAGAGAAGCCGAGCCGGAGTGTCATGGCTGCAAAGCCAGGTCGCTAAGCAGGCTTTGTG